TACCATAAAGTTAAAAATAGGAGGAATCGCATTTTCATCATAGTGTTTCAAACAACTGCCTTTCTTTCTCATCAAGATGACATTGTGGAAGAAGCCATTGTCATTTTGTCTCACTTCTGAATTGTAACAATTTACTCCTCACTTCTCATATGAACAATATCCCTTCTGGTTATACTCTTAATCAAGGGGTCAGAAATTTTCTCTCTGCCAATTTTTTCTGATAAAGAGATCAAAATTACTTTGTTTGGTATTGAGAGATGTAAATGCCCTTGGCCTAATGGTTTTAGCTCTAATTTTTGTAGACACTTGTGACATTATTAGCTCATAATTTATGGATAATATGAAATATTTCCTTGCTACTGCTGAACTTCTTAGTCATATCAAACACTCGAACATTACTCTTATTCCTAAGAAGTTACACGATGTTACCTTACATGACTATGGACTCCTTTGTGCAACACGTTGTACAAAGTCATTGCTAAAATACTCGTTGGGGGCCTGAACTCTTGCTCACTAAGCTTATCAACTCAACCCAAGCAATGTTTGTTCAAGATACAGATATCTCCGTTATTATTTCTTTAGCAAATGAGATTCTTCATGGTTTCAACTCTGATAGCTATACCAAAAAGTTTTTGTGCCAAGATTGACCTTAAAATAAGCCTTCAATAGTGTCAATCGTGTGGTTCTTTACTCTTGCTTCAATCACTTGAGGGGCCCACACCATATTTGTCAACTGGATCATTGGTTGTACTCGGGGCGTTCATTTCTCTGTTATTATTAATGGTGAGCTCAGAGTGTTCTTTAATTCCACCTCAGGTCTCAGACAGGGTTGTGACGTTTGCCTCGTCTCGTTTTCTATTCACTATTGTGATGGGCATCTTCTCTTCCATCATTAATGCCCACTGTGAGTCTAATATATTACCTTCTATTCATACCAATGTTAAGGTCTCTCATCTTATTTGTGAATTTTCTTTTAGTTTTTGTCAAAGCTGACCATACCACCATTGGATGTCTTAATTTCAACTTATCTCAATTTGAACGGATTACTAGGCTTTGCATTAATTAAGGTTAATCTTTGCTCTGTTTCCTTTATTAATGACATTGACTGGACTTGGCACTCCTTTCCCAAAAAAAGGTAGCTGATAGAAGGCCGCCTATATATTTTTTTTCTTTATTGATAAAAATAGTTTAAAAAAATTCTGGTGGCATTTCTAAGAAATCTAGAGGAGAGATTCAGAACATATGGTATTGAAGTGAACTGGACGTCCATCAGTAGGTTACCTAGCTTATTATTATGAAAACATATGCGGGGAAGATAAGTTAACTAAAAGTTTTTTCTGGTAGACAGTGCTTTTATCTTCATGGTTATTATCATAGCACTAAAGAAATCGGATATCTTTCTACAACATGTTTTGCAATTTTACGGGGCTGAGATTGATTAGTTTCTCCGAAACTGCAGACTGGTATTATGATGAACATTAAAAAATTAAGTAAAGTGTAAGCAAATGTATTTTTATAAGTAAACAGCAGCATGGCATCCATGTTGTTTGTATGAGGCTTCGATTCATTATTTTCAAAATAATGTCGTGATTTTGAGTCTGAAATATTATTTATCATCAATACTTCAGTTGGCATCTATGATGTACCGAAACATTCTCCTCAATGAAACGAAGCCTCGTTCAAACAAATTGGATGACATGCATCAGATGCATAGTAGACATGACATGTATTTGATACGGCTCTGACATGTGTCAGGCACACTTAAGATGTGAAAATATTAAAAGCAAATTGGACATACGTGTCTGAAATGCTTATCTTAAATATTTTATAATTTTTTTAAAATATAATTTCTTGTATTTTAAATTTTTATTTATTAAAATGATAAAAATTAAATTTATTATTTCCTCTTTATAGCCCCAAATCAATAGTCTGCAGTCAATACTCTATTTCTCAAACATTCCTATTTTCATTTTTTCTCCTGGTTGTGGCAAAAGTTTCACAACAATGCTCATTACTATCTTAACATCAATGTCCGATGCTGTCATATTGTCTATGTTTTAAAACAATCTCAACATCAAATTCTACAATGTCTTGACATTGATGCTTGACACTAGTAATTTTTAAACCTACAATCATGCTTCCTAGCCATCTCGACATCTCATCTTTCTCCAACTTCATCTCAACATTGACGATTTATGTTGTCTCAACATCGATCTCGGATGCCTATCACACAAGATCGATGCTCGACTCTTAATAGCATTGTCATCTCCCCTCTCGATGTCTGACACATGACATCGAGACCCTACTCTCAACATCCTAATATTAATCATTTAAGCACAAATTCTAATTAAATAACTTATTATTTCTTAATTATTCTTAAAATTACGCCTATTTGATTGTTACACACTTTTTAAGCTACAAAAAATGATAATACCATGTCTCGTATATTTATCATATATTTTTAATAATTGTCGTGTCCCATCTCCTGTTGTGTTAGGTCTGTGTCATCATGTCCATATCTGTGCATCTTAGCTTATCATCCTGTTAAAAGGAGTGGTTGTAGATGAGTAAAGAAAAATAATTATTGTTGCTAGAATTTTTTTTTTTTTTTAAACAAGTTTTCTAGGCATATTGTCTAGCTAAGACTTCACTACCCTTTAAAGGAAGAGGAATGCTTTACATTTAATGTCTTCTCCAGTTTATTTATATTTTCAAGCCTCCATCTCCAATGCTTTTTCCAGAAATGGGAAATTGTTGAAAATGATCCCTTCATTCTGAGATTGTCATAAAAAAGCTATGCCTACTTATCCTTTGTTAGGTAAAGGGAAATGTTAATGCATTGTTCTAGTTTTTCATAGAAGTTTTTTAAGTGGTGCTATAGACAGTTGGCATCAAAAGGGTCCACAATATTGACAACTCTGACTAATATTACTGTTGTTGTAGTTTCTACCTTGATTCATGGTAAAAGGAACAACATTTAGGTACAGAGAGGAAGGAGAGAAATGTTTTGAATTTTTGTTTTGGCATAGATTGTACTATTGGTAAATTATTTTGTGTTTTATTTTAAAGAGGAGCACAAATCATCAAAATTAGTTAGAGGAGCATGTTTACAAAAGAAATTTAGAAATGAGCAAATATGTCAAATAAAATGACGCATATAGAATACGCATAATATATATATATATATATATATATATATATATATATATATATATATATATATATATATATATATTCTAAATGCGTTAGTTGATTTGGTGGATTTAATTCAAGTGAGAAAGAGAAAGCGGCTGCAGAGAGAGAGAGGCGGGGAGAGAGAAAAAGGCATAATAGGGGGAGAGAGAAATAGTTGGATGGTGGAGAGAGAAACTTGGTGAGAGAGGGAGAGGGAATATTAGTAGCTTTTTATTAAATAAAGATGGGTTTCTTTTTAAGAAAAATCTAATGAATAGATACAAAATTATCTATTTTATATTTATTTTAATTTATAAAACAGATAATTTTGTCTAATAATTAAATTTTTTGCAAAAAATTACTAATTATTATTTAATATTTAATAAAAAAATGACTACTTAAATTTAATAAAAATTTATTATTATTTAAATTTTTGCTATTTATCTTAATAAATTATATAATTTTAAATTAAATCAGATAATATTAATATTTATCTAATAATAAATATTGTAACTATTATAATTTAATAAAAATTTTTCTAATTAATTATTATTATTTTTGTAATTAATATTCAAAATTTTGTAATTAATTAATTTTTTTGTAATTTTTTGGTTAATTTAATTACACGCTCATCTTAATTTATAACATGCATAGCTAATTAATTAAGAGAAATTTGAGTCAGGATATTTTGATTAGATTTAATTAAGTTATATTTTATAGTTATGAAATCTATTTTAAGATAAATATAATATATGATAAATTAACAATAAAATCATCATATTTATCTTAAAAATAAAATTAATAAATTTAATACTTATCTTAAAAAAAATTGGTAGAGAAAGAGACGGGGAGAGAGGATAGTGATCGAGAGTGAGAGAGGTAGGCAGATCATGTTTAGTGGCTGTAAATTGAATTTTTAAACAGATAAAATCATGGAAGTAGTTAGTGTTGGTGTATCCGAAATGATTTACTACTTTTGGTTCGATTAAATATTCCAAAATAATTGAGAATAACATCTGTAGTTTGCAATTTTCTTTCTAGGTGTTCTTATAAAAACTATGTTCGTTAAAGTTTAATGTTCTATAATTTATGGTATATTCTATTGATGCTTTTGCCATCAGCTATTCTGTCTGGTGTTTTTCACCCTTATTTAACCGTCTTCTGATTGACGTAACTATCTAATAGAAGTTCTGCTCAAGTTGTATATCCTAACTATGAATATTTTTCAGAAATGAGCCAATCAGGTTGTAGTAATTAATATATACCATTTTTCTTAATATAATACTTTTAGCTTTTCTTAAAGTAATATGCTATTAAAATTGTTAATATTTTGATAATGTGTCTTCATTCCTACTAGTTTGCTTCATTGGGTTCTGGTGAAGACATTCATGTTTATATTGTTTGTAACATCTTTATCCGTCCACCATAATTTCTTCAACTTCATAAACCCAAATGTGAAGTAGATCCTTCTTATCTCCCTGGATAACAGCAGGTTGTCATTTTCTGACCATTGTTACTTTTTGCTGTATCACAAAATATGCACTCCGTGCCTTTCTGATAAAATAAACAAACTGGCCCTCGCTAAATTTATGTAACCCTTCCTCTAGGATCATATTTTGATTTTTCATCATCTTCTATGACCAAATCCGTGCAGGCTTAGTTTGGCTAGTTTCAAGTATTTTAACATGATTATTTTTTTTCTTCTTTTCTGTTATCATGTTATTGGGAATGACTGGTATATGTTGCATCTTCATACTGAGCGAACTGTTATATTAATAATTATTTTCTCAGCAAATAGATCTGATGTGTAATGTTTCTTGACGTAGATGGAACACTACTGGAAGTACATGGATGACAGGCAGGTTGCAAAGAAGTATGCATCCTCAAAAGACAAAGAGGCTCTAGAACGCCATTGCACTGAACAGGTGACTTTCTTACTTAGTTCATCAAGTAATTATTAAGGACAACCTATCAGCCTATTCTTTCTCTCAGGTTGAAAGAATTATGCGGCTATGGAATGAAGATGATGACTTTCGAAAACAGTATGTTGAATCCAATCTCAATAACACCTTAAGGAAATTTGGGACTTTGGATGGAAGGACTCCTGGCCCCAATGATCCAAAGCTTGTGATTCCCCAGCAAAATTTTCCGCCTTTGACTACAAGAAGCTCTCCTGCTACTGTTTCAGTCCACCATGAACAATCACTTCATTCACATAAAGTTACCAAACCAGCTCTTCCAACTAATCTAATGGTGAGATCAAAATTACCCTCCGAGTCTACTTCGAACGATGTTGCAGATATTGTTGCTCCTTTAAGAGAGGAGTTCGTAGAGCTGGAAGTGGAGAAAAAACTCACCATTGAGGAAGAAGAGCAAGCCAGGTTAGCAGAGGAACAAGCCAGAAAGGCTGAGGAACTGGCCAGAAAGGAAGAAGAGCTTAGAAAAGTAAGGGAGGAGTTAGAGTTTAAAGAAAAGTTAAGAATGGAGCAGAAGGCCAAGGCCAAGGATGCCGAGGAAAGAAAAAGACGAAAAGCTGAAAAGGCCCAAGCAAAAGCTGAATACAAGGCACAAAAACAAACTGAACTAAGAGAACTTGTAAGTTATGTCTAATTGCCAATTTGTATATTAGCAAAAAGTAACTTTTACTTAACACTCGGCTGAAGAATTTGCAAATGCTTTTGTAGAAGAGATTAAAGAAGGAGAAGAAGAAAGAGGGTACATCAGAAAAAGATGGAATCGTGGAAGGAGACCGTGCATCTGTTACTGAAACATCTTCACAAGAAGCTTCTCAGGAACAAGAAAACAACAATACAACGAGTTCGAAGAGATCTAGAAGGAAATCATCAGCAGCATTGAACAAGTACAGCAACAAAGTTCAACCAGTCCCCTTACCTCTGCGGAACAGGGGGAAGAGGAAGATGTCTGCGTGGATATGGACATTCTGCGTTGCGGTGGCACTTATAGGCTTGTTCTTTGCTGGAAACTATATTTCTTTCTCGTTTAGCTGGCTAAAATTTGGCTTCTAATACATATGTTCGCTTACTGATATTTATATAATAGGGATGAGGGGGTTCATAGATTACAGAGAGTGCAGAGAGGGAATGTCATCTACAAACTAAAGGATCAATCATTCTTTTGAGAGGGAGCTTTTTTTTTTTTTTAATTATTGTTGATTCAGTTCAACAAAAGTTATCTTATTTGATTTATGTTGCTGGTAAGACCCCATAATTACAATCAAATAATAAGGTTATAGTTACTCTTTGCTACTAGATTGCTTGGATCAAATTTTATGATATTTTTGTATCATTTGGCATGAAATGTTCTTAATGTTAAGCACATGGTTGACTTGTGCATTTACTGAATTCATTAGTTTTATACAATGAAACATTGAGGCTTTCATTCACTCATGCATTTTCCAGCCACATATTAAATGATTTAATAATCAAACAAACATCAAAAAGTATTATAATCACATATGCGATCTTAGCTGATTAATTGATTCTTTTTTGGTTACAGAACACGTTTAGATAATGTAGATTGCATGCCTATGTTCATCAATTTATTAATGAAATTGATTTAACAATTGTGATATCTTGTAGCCATTAGAGGGAACCTCATTCACTTGTGTAGTGTCCATGTTCTCAAAACTGAAAAGTAGCCTCACATATATTATGATGTTCATGGATAGAATGCTATGAATTCCAGTGAAAATTAGGCTTAATTTTGTTGAATCCGAACTTATCTGAGGATGCCAATTGACAATTGGCCTGCATAACTGAGTGAACAAGTGAGTAGGAACTTGGATGAGAGTGGAGAGTGAATTAAGAAATTGGAGGGTGGAAGAAAATCTAGAAGTTGCTCAGATAATTGTAGATTCTAAATTGGCAGAATTTCTATTATCAAAAGGAAGAAAAAGGTCATTTTCAATCTTTCCTCTTGACCCGTTATTTATATGGTCAAATGGGCTACAAAAAAAAGGCTATATAAAGCAAATGTAAAAAATGTACAATGCTATATACTCCATGTGTACAACAGTACACAATGCTTTAGATTTGTGTTACCTCTTGATTAGATGAGGGGTTAGCCAGGGTAGAGGACCTTTCTCTAGAAAAGATAGGTAGTGCCTATTGTGCATTGGGCAAATTCAGAAAAGGATGAGCTCCAGTGCACCTGGGAATTTTGCAAGCTAATGCAGAGCAACACAAGCTCGAGGATATGATGCAGATTGAAAGTCACTAGAGATCTAAGAATTTTCCTAAATCGTCATGGGGGAACGAGTAAGAAGGCTAAGTTAGTTGAGGGATTGAGTTATGGCAAGTTTTGATAGAGCGAGTTGAGAACCATATGTATGCACTTTCCTGTAGTTGAAATTTAATGGAGAGGTTCTCCTTTGAGAGAGAGAGAGAGAGAGAGAGAGAGAGAGAGAGAGAGTGAGTGGATAATTGTGGAATTTGGGCAGCTAGCAGATGTCGACTTGTGAACTTGCCTAGGAACCTTTGAGTTGCCCTATGCGAGATGAGTTGTCTGGGAACCCAAATAAGTGTTGCATGTTGATCTAGCTGGGTTGGTCTCTAGATGAATATCACCTTCTTTTAGTCCACCTAAGCGAGTCCCTCTTCTCATCCACATGAATTGCGAGCTCCTCTATCATAACCTACTGGGAGTTTGCAAAATACATGTGAAGGCATATGCGACTATACATTTAGTTCTAGAATTCACTTGACCCATTGACGTACAAATTATTAAAAGGGTGAGTGAATGAAAGAATGTTAATTGTGAAAACCAAACATTTAAACTAGAAAGTAAATTTGAAATTACTATTATATTTATTATAGCCTAATGACAGCATTGACAGGCATTGATGCGATGCTGCTTCCCATGTGATTCGTTATAAAGAAGGATTCTATGTTGAAAAACCATCATTAGTGTGAAGCAAGAGTAATCTTCTTTAGCGAGCGAGGTGAAAGTTATCTCCTAAGGGTTGCATTCTCCTTCCCATTTGAAATTTAACCACCACTTCTGATACTCCCTTCCCCTCTTCTCCTTTGGCTTTGCCGGAGGACTTTCACCCCTTCGATGTCATTACCCAACATTTTTTGGCCTATGATTTTCCTTCCCTTGGCCATGCTTCTATTCCAACCACCACGCTCCCTACTTCAAACCCAACCAATAACTCTATTTAGAAAAAACATTCTTTTGTCTCACAAGCTCACCACTTCTGATTTTCCCCTCTTTCACTCCCTCTCAAAACAAAATTGCTCAATTCTCTGAGGTTGATATTTTAGCAGGTACCCTAGATTGGGGTCTCTCGCTCATTGGGTACTAAATCGAACAACATCTTTTTTATGGCTCCCTCCTAGCTGTTATTAACTGCACCTGAATGCTCAATGGATCCCTTAATCTACTTTCTCTATCAAATGAGTTTTTCTTACTAAAGTTTTCATCTTCTGAAGTCTTCGACATGGCCTAGTTAGGTGGCAGTGGTTCTTTCTAAGTAAGCCTTTCATATTAAGAAATGGTATCCATAATTTACCCCTATACGAGATGTGTTTTCTTTCATTCCCTTATGGATAAATATTTTTTATCTCACTCTAGTATACTGGAACCCATATGGGATTTCCAAGATTGCAAGCTATATAGGTGTTCCTCTGGAGATTGATAAGCTAACGACAAAAAATAAGACTAACATTTGCTAGTATATGCATCTAGTTCAACAATGATTCCCCTTGTCTAATATCATTTAGGTCTTTGTGGCTGGTAAAATCCAAAACCTCAATGTAGTCTATGATTGAAAATCCTCTACCTATGATTTATATAAATCCTACCACTAGTCCAATATATGTTTTAAAGCCAAATTACACCTTTCGATGAAGGTCATCCTTCTAGTAGAAGCAAAACCCATTATAACTCTGTCAACCTACTACACCCCCCCCCCCCCCCCCCCCCCCCCATCTGAGGTTACACTCAATTAAGATCTACCTCCAGCCCGGCCTAGGCTAGCCTCCAGCACATCCTACCACATCAACCAACTCCTCATCTTCACACACCCCCTCAAACGGAACCCATGTCCCCAACCTCAACTCTCATTCAGGGCCTACTTCTTCAAATGACTCCACTCAAACTTCCATTTGAAACCTTAAAACTAAAAAGAAATTTAACACTCTTATAAATTTGGAATATATTTTTATGGGTGATCAGCCTCCTCTTTCTTAGTCAGCCTTCCTAGTATCAAAAAAATACTATGTGAAAATAAGTAAAAAATACTAACAAACAAACTCAAAAATCTCAATGACCTAACCCTACATAATGGTGCAGGATGTGAGGGCTTTAACGGCCTTGAAGAAGTTTCCATGTGTAAAAATCTCTCCATTATAATATGGATGGGATTTTTATTTTAAAAATGAAAGTCAGCTACAATGTGGTCTCTAAAATTTGGTTTTATGATGGATAAAATATTTTTGTGAACGAAGAAAACTATCACAATTTTGATGTACCCCATCTAGGCCGTATCTAGATAAAGTTGAACTTATCCACCACTATTTTTTAGAAGTGCAAATAATGTTATATTTTATATGTTAATTTGTTAGTAAAAATGTGTTGTTTTATTTGTGTTAGTAAAATAGTACATAAAACGGGAAAATTTTTCAAGAATAGTATACGTCGCCACGTCGGATACCATACTGCCGCAGTGCCATTATTGACACCGCTAGAGTTCCCAAATATGAACATGGATGTGCCCAATTTCTGTTTGACAGTGCCTCAACATCAGACGAGTTAGCACTGCAAAGCCTAGTCTCTGTCTACACAACACCGCAACACCAAAATTCTAATACTACCAAGCCAAGGGGAGTGCCATGTGGATGTAGCAACGCTTAACTGTCAACAGCACCACGGTGCTATAGTGGTTACCTTTCAATCCATGATCTACTAGTGAAATAATGCATCTATTTATTAAACAGCGAGTCCATGTATTAAGCACTGCAGCAAAGAAAACCCTTCAGTGCTGCAACAATAGTTCATTTTATAGGCACCAAGACATAAGTGTCTTGCCGCGGTGCCAAAATCTGCTTTCTTTGTTTTTCTATAAATAATTCATTTATAATATTAGTATAGGAGTTCATTCACTTGTTTAGTTTTAGTTTTTTAGTATTTATCTGAATTTTCCATGGAAGTGATGACTAAGAGAATTCAGAGAAGTACTAGAGACATTCCATTAGAGTGTTTGGCTTGTGCTTGTAGAAGCAATTATGTAAGTTTAAGGAGTGTAGAGAAGATCATTGAACCCATCTGGTGATATCTTTTCTTCTGTACTTTCTTTCTTTTATGCAATTAATAAATTTGCTTCACTTGTTCGTCATGTCTGGCTAAATTCTCTAATTTTAGATTGATGGTGTAAATGGAATGTGGATTACTAATCAATTCTCTTCATCAATAATTTTATGATATTTTCAATATATCAGGTCTTCATTTAATGTACATAGTGTTCATATGTGTAGTTAATATCAGGTGTAATGTGGAGCCTAGGAATAGGAAAGCAGGCACAACCAGGTATGTTGGATTGGTATGATACAAGAAGAGACATAATTTTTATCATGTATCAAATTTATAGAGATAAATAATCATGAGGGGATTTTAATAGTACATGTTTTACTTACTTTTCTAAGATTCTCATAGGGTGATATACTATGAGAGTTTAGAGTGGTATTGTGATGGGTATGATAAAGATTCTCATAATGTTTATCTTTCCTTTGTCTTTTAGCACTTAGCTGAGTGGTCGATGATGCATATACTCTGAATAGTATCAATATAAAAGAGAATTATTAGGAAATATATTGTATTTAAATTCTATCAATTCAAAATAATTTATCCAAATAATGTTTCATTTATTTATTTAATATTTTAAATTAAGTGATTGAATCTCTACCAAAACTTAATTTTTTTTTTAGTATGACAATTATTGTAGTTGTAGTAGACTATACTACTATTTGCAAGAAAATATTCTCCCTCATGAGATCGATACTCTACTCTATCACTATATTACTTGATTTGATATGTTTACTTGCATATATTAAGTGGAGTTTTTATAATTTAATATTAAAAAAAGCATTCTTTAGGGATTGATTAATCCCTAAATCATTTTCATAATTCTTTATGTTACTCCACTGCCCCCAATATGTTTTTGGCGATCTTGCTGGGGAAGTATTTATTTTAGTTAAAAATTTACTATATTGTTGAATCAATTGTATAATTTATCCTACTATATTCTTTT